GACAGTTTGAAATGATTCCCGGACAACATGATATGATACTGGGACAACTTGACATGAAAAGGGTATAGATAAACTGATAATTGTGCGTGAAAATAGAGTTTAATGGTTCCTCTGTCTAAATCAGTAAAACGAAAAACTGATGACAGCTCTCGTACCAGTGGATACAACTCACTTTAAATGACGTGAAAGAATTGATTTGTTTATTAAGAAGACCACCCTAATACTACACAATCATGTGTGATGAACTACAGAGGGTATGGCGGCCATAGGTGCCAGGATATATGCAGTCAGTGAAGTTGGCAATCGGAGCCTTGGAACTTGGAATAGCGGATTACCTCAATGACCCACATTTAAAGGAGAAGTCATCGTTCGGCAGAGACTACATGACCACCATCATCGTCATCATCATAGTGGATTAGTGCCTAATAGTATCGGGTCACCGCGGTTCAGTTATGTCAATAGTTAGTAATAATAATACAGTTTATCATGCAGTGAGTATAGTAAAACTTTGGAATTCAGGATAAACAGCTATCTAATATTATAAGACTGTGAAAGGCATGTGTTCATCATGTAGAGTGATTGCTTACTCCCGTGAACTGTAATGACAAAACATTTGTAAATGCCGTATTTATATCAGCATTTTCGAGGCCACAGGGATCCCGCTTTAATCTTTCTAGTAGATTATTAATCCAGTGCCCACAAAACAGTCAGGCGATCGTTCAATGCGTATCGCAGCAGGGAGATTCACTCGAGTTTACGCATAATAAAAGTCAATTTGAATGAATGTACCACCCATTTCTCATCAGTTTATATCAGTTAAAAGCCCATTTCGAATAGAGCTATCTAAAGTTTCTTGGTTCCNGGATCTCTCTCGTTCTATCTTGGCAATCGGAGATCACTGGACCTAAAACAAAAGGTTTGCATTGATATTAGCCATTTTGCGAAAGCATTAGACTCATGGAGATGCCCCATCTAAATACTAAGCTATTACTTCTAGGACAGTTTGTGGTTACCTTGGAAAATCCTTGAAAACATACCATGTGGTTTTCAAAAAAAGAACTGATCAATAATGAAAACCGATAAAAATTTAAAAGGTTCATTTTATGCGTATAAAAAATAATATAATCAGGAGTTCACTTACTCCCCTCGCGAATATCAAGCAATCACCAGTTTGTGTAAGAACTTCAACAACAGAAATCAAATCATCATGCAATACAAAATGTGGGTCAAAATATAGATAGATAGATAGATATATAGATAGATTTCAAAAAATGCTCACGAAAACGTCTGGCTAATTACGACAAATTTTATTAATTGCGTGTATAACGAAACACATTCAGGGTGAATGTTCTGTGCATGGCCATCTATTGATTTTCTTTTGTCTCCTTTGAATTTACTTATGGAATAAATTTATGTGGAGGGGCCGTAATCACATGCAACTGACCTCGTGTCGCTCGACGAACTGCGGATTCAGTGCATGTTAGCATCGATTTGAATCGATTAGCCACATGCAGAATTGCGTCTCCAGAAAATGTATTCTTTTTCTTCGTCTTCTTGTCTTACTCAGTTTCACGCCACTCGTCTATCGGTTGACATGCGTCACTGTTCGTTCTACCGAATAGCCTCCCTTTGTCTTCTAATCTGCGCGTCTACTCTCCGGGCAGATTCCGACCTCAATCGTCAACGAAATCATGACAGACAGCAACGAGTTGGTTTTCACAGGGTCCCAGAATCTTCATTTCGTAGGCATTTTGCCCGACTGCTAGAGAGTCGTGATCAAAGAACACCGGGGAGATTTCGAGATCGGTTAGAGGATCCCGATCGTCGTAGATCGAGTCATTGGCTCGGTCGCCACGGTTCTGATCGGCCTTGGACAACACCTTTTCGTCGGGATAGATCAGATATCTACGATGAGAACAAGGAGATGCCGATTCCATTGAGGGAACCACGCAGATTGGTTACATCCAGGGATTTTGACGGACATCGAATCTCACCGGATTTCAGGCCTGGTGAATACAGTACTGGTAGAAAACTACCAACAGCCGAACTGAAAGAGGATGTTTTAGGGCGAAACATGGAACGAACTCTGAAAACATCTCCGATACTTGCTTCCACATCGTTGACCGAACAGGGCCCATCGGGATCGGCCCCACCACATTTGCCCCGGGGGGGAGAATTGAAAACACTTGACGGTAAACATAATGAACCAAATCATCTGATCGAATCANCATCGGAGGATGAGGTGAGTGAAGTTTAATTAGACTAAAACTGTTCGTCAGCTTTTCCCCCGGTTCATCAATGGAATCTCTTCAGAAGAATAATCACTGCTGATAACCACCATAGATAAGATGATAAAAATGGCATCGTTAGCAGAAAATTCTCCCTCATATTTGACTGTGAAGAAGCACGTTTCACCATACATTATAGTATATATGCTGCTCCGGTTGTGAATTTCCAAGAAGATCCACCTGCCTTGGATTGAGCCACCTGATAATATTTCACCCATATGCAAATCGTGGAACTTTTTTGCTATATGAATTATTGTACCGTGATTCGTTTGGCACAGTCCGAACTCCGACGAGCGTGATATATAAATACAAATATATATATATATGTATATATACAACTTCATTTCTTATACTACATAAAATAAATATAACATTTATCCCGATCTTCAACGAAATCTGTTATCAATCCGTTGTATACTGTTGTCAGATTTGAAATACTTCCCACCGCGTCACAGCCCTGACGGACAAGGTGTGAGTTCCGCAATAGGTCTGCGGAAAAAGGTTGTGCTACAACACATACATGATGTACCAGTGAGGCGCACATGCTAAGCGCCAAAATTCGCGAAACCAGGCATGGGTATTGGATCACTTTTACCCTACTATTCAGGTGCCACTCATTATATAAGTAAACAACGAAATCGATCATTTGTTTTAAATTATATAACAATGAACTGGACTTTTTTTGGTAAATTTCGATTTTTGATCATTTATGGTCTTGAAATCGACTAAGTTACAACACTTTTCTGCCAACAATTGTTATGGTAATAAAATTATGAAGGATTAATTTCACTAAAATCGTTTTCTGTGTACTGTTTTTTATACGCATTCAAGCTAACAAATCCGCCGGAAATTAAACCACCAGAGGAAAATCCTCCATGGACTTCAAAGTTACACGAATCAGCTGATCATCACTCAGCTGACGCGATGAAAAACACCCCAATCGGTGATATAAACAAACCTATTCCGACCACCAACATCCTGCCTCCAAGACCACCGGGATTCATTGCAGACGATACCGCCGTCCAACATCATCAACCGCATGTGGAACACTTCTCCGGATTTCCCCGTGATGCTGGTCGGGTGAACCTTCCACTTCATCCCCCGCCACCTTCCCCGCCGGCACCGCCACTTCCACCACACAAACATGGCCTCGTCAAGGAATCAAATGCTTTCGGTATCCCTCGAGATGAAAAAGCATTCGGACCGGACGGATTTGCCGGTGAGAATCAGAAGTTGGCCGAAAAAGATCCGATTGCGGCAGATAAAACAAAACCGTGGATGAATTTCCGTCTGTTGCTTGGCGATGATGGTAAAGTCAAATTGGAAATGACCCCTTCGGGTGAATCGACAAAAGAAAAGGACCCTAAATTGCAGGAAAGCCTAGAGTTATTTATGGGCGCACTCCGGGCACGACAGCAACACCAACAACAACAGCAAGGCCCAATGAAGGGAATGCCATCAGGTAAGGAGGCAGTATACCCTGTATTTTCTGTGGTCAGGTTCCAAGTACTTAACCGTAAGTGGATTGAGGGTTATCAAGTGGTAGATTTTTCACGGTGAGGAGACTGGTGCTTACTCTTCTCGATGCAATACGGCATTTGTTGCTTATCGGTTTTTTGCATTGTTATTGCAACCTTTAGGTAACCAGCTCTTATGCATAGACAACAAAGATGCCCATAATTTGCCGTATTCAAATAACCATTAGGAGTATATCGTTGTGGCAGAATACGTTCGTTCTTACCGCCTTATTAGGGAT